TATAAATAGAGAAAAAATGAATTTGTCAAAGACTTCATTTTGTTCAGCTCTATCATCAACACTATGGAAGCAGCAGTCAAGAAATCAAACAACACATTGCATTAGGGAAGTCTGTTGCACAAGACTTCTTTTAAGTGTTCAAGAGCAAAGACATCAGATTGAGAACTAAGGTGCACCTGACCCAAGTCATGGTATTTTCAATAACCTCATGTGTGTGTGGAAGTTGGACAGTGAATAAGAAGACTATTGAAGAACTGATGCATTTGAGTTACAGTATTAGAGGAGAATATTAAAAGTATCATGGACTGCCAAAAGGACTGTGTTGGAGGAAGTACAGTCAGAGGGCGCCTTGGAAGCCAGGATGGCCACACTTCTCTAATACTTTGGAAATACTATCAGGAGGAACCAGTCCCTGGAGAAGAATATCATGTTTAGTCAAGTGGAGGATCAGAGAAAAAGAAGAGGACCACCAACGAGATGGATTGGCACAGTGGCAACAGCAATGGGCTCAAACATAGCAACAATTGTGAAGTTAGTGTAGTGCTGGGCAGTGTTTCATTTTGTTGTGCATAGCATTGCTATGAGTCAGTACCAACTCAATGGCACCTAACAAGAACAACAACGAATGAGATTTTAAACCTGAGCTCTTACTTTTTTTTTTTTAATCTCGGGAAATTCTTAAAATTATTTCTTCAAATAATACTCCCTTAGGAGCCCTGGTGTGGCACTATAGGATAATCACTGGACTGCAAATTCAGTTTGAAGATTAAGGTTGGTGGTTCAAACTCACCAGAAGCTCCTTGTAAGTCCTATACAGGGTCATTGTGAGTTTGAACCAACTCGACAGCACCTAACAACAACAATTTTGTTTTGGCCCTGTCCTTTCAAGATTTCAATTATAAGGTTGCTGACTCATGTAACTTAATATTTCTCTTATAATTGTCATCTGTTTATGTCTTTTGGTAAGAATTCCTTGTCTTCATATTCCAATTTATTGATTTGCTCTTTGTATTCATTCTGCCATCAATCTTTACTTTTTCATATTCTGTATCTCCAGTATTTTTTTCTTCATAATGGATTATCCTTGCTCCATAATATTAATATCTTCCCTTATAATTTTTAGTATATTTACTTGACTAATTTTGAGTCTTCTGTGCGGTTCATGAATTGCTTCATCTGCTATAGGTTGTCTAATTTGTCTCTCAGTGACAGTGCCTATGCTCCTTGTATTTCATGGTTGCTTCCTATAAGCTTACATTTCTCTTTGGCTATCTGCTGCCTTAGCTGCAAGAAGTGGCGAAAGAGACAAAAATCTCAGAAAGGGACAAAAAAGGTTCTTTCTTGTATAGCTTCTGATGAGTTGTGGAAACTGGAAATACAGCATATTGAGGCAGATAATCTCTGGAATTACAAAGTGGTTCTCTTACTTTATTTTCCATTCCCCACCCCAATCCTTGTGCCTTGTTGTTAATGTCTGCTCAAGGATCTCGAATTTTTCAACAGCGCCATCTTTAAGTTGTAATCACTGGGAGTTGTAGTGTTGAGGGCAGGGTGAGCAGGTGGATGGGATGAGAACTGGAGGAAGAAATCTCCAGTGGTTGACCAGTCTACTTACATTCTTATTAACTATTTCTCACTCTAGTTGGGAACTGGCACTGCCTTGGATGTAGCAGACCATCTCCTGCTGGCTCTGGATTGATAGCTCTGCTAGTCTGGCTCTTAATGTCTCTAGTACAGCAATGATGGATCTTTATGTATGAAATGTGGGATACAGAACAGGGCATGTCATGAAAGCTTTCTTTCTCCAGCCTATTACCTCTCCAGTGGAGGCTCTTCCCACACCATCATCACCAGTCTCCAACAGTGGCGAAACCACTTTCTTTTGAGTTTGGTCCCAACTTTGTTTCGCTTCTTTGGTATTTTCAAACTTCCCCTCTTATTATTGTGGTAATTTCAGGGCAAGGTTTGAAAAGTGAATTCAGCGGTCATGCTTATGTGACACCTTTCCAGGAATGAGCAATTCATCAGAGGTTTTCAAAGGAGTACTAGGACCCTAGAGCATCACCGACACTTTAGGTCACTGACAGGCTAATTTCTTCTACTGAAATCCTTTTTTCTTTGTTTACCTTCTTTTTTACATGATTTTTTTTTTTTTAATCATATGGTGAACCCAAATATGTAAAATAGCTGCTTTAGTTGAAGCAGGAATGGCAGTCCATGAGTCTAGTCCCTAGACTCTTTACATTGATCCCATAGAAACTCCCACAGAAGCCTATAACTGTAACCATTCCCCACCCAAGTAGTTTAGAGGGTTGCAATGTATATAATTTTATTGACTTTATTATATATTTTTTCAAATAACAATCAATTACTAATGCATCACTCTTTCTTGTCTCTACTGGTAGGAATGGATAAGAGGAATTGGTGGCACCCAAGCTTCTTTTGCCTATTAAGTTTTCTATGGAGAAGAAAATCTTAGCTAGAGCTCAATTTTGAGAGCGTGGTGGTTCCATACCATAAGTACTGGACTGTGAATCACAGGTCCGTGATTTGAATCCAGCAGCTGCTTCATTAAGAAAAGATGAGCCCCAGCCAATCTCCTCCCTCCCTGCCTTCCTCGGATGGCAGCTCTTTATGCTGGACGTGTGGCCAGAGACGGGTAAGGATCACGTGGAACCTCGGCAACCTAAGGCAGAGCCATTGCCATGCTGCAATGAGTTTCGATGACGGGTAAGACTGAGGAATTCGCACTGACTGCCTAAGACAGGCAGCGTCCCTTAAACAAACAATAAATAAGGGGAATCTGATGCAGACCGTGCAGACCCAGTCAGGAGGTCAAGACCCTGTGGGCCCAAGCGTTGTTGACCGTCCAAACCATAGGCTCTGAGGATCAGACTTTAGCCACCTAGTAGATATAGCAAACTGTCCCTCATCTGATTATTCAGTAATGCTTGTTAGTAATCTCATACATGAGCCCTGGATATCCACAGACAAATGTAAAAACCTTCCCTAAAAGCCGAGACTGTAAATTCCAAAAAGGCAAGTTCCCCCCCTCCCCCCCCAAAAAAAAGCTAAAGAGGATAGAGAGAAACACTGTTAAATGATGATATATGGAAGGGATAATAATCAATGTAATGAAACAAGCTATATGAATGCTTGAATGTGAAGCTGATGATGTGCCCTGTAAACTTTCACTCAATCCAAAATAAAAACATTTAATAAAAAAAAGAAAAGAAAAGATCAGGCTTTCTGCTCCCTTGAAGATTTAAAGCCTTGGAAACTCTATACAGGTGACTTTGAGTCAGAATCGACTCAATGACACTTTAAAACAACAACAGAGCTCAATCTTAAGCAATATCTAAGAGTGTAAGTTACACCCTAGAAACCACTTTAGAAGAGTCATCTATATTACTTATAATCCCTGACAGATGAAAAAACTTGTATAAATGTCAGTACAGACCCTGAATCTGTTATGTAGAGGGAAGATTATTGTTAGAGAAGTAAAAACTGCTCATTTATTCAGCCATCAATCCACACCTCCATTACACAAATCACCTATCCATCTTCCCATTCTGTCTATCCATGCATGAGATTCTTTCTGGGGAATCTATTTGAGAAACGCTTAAGAACTAGGGCTTTGTCTAGCTTATTCCTATAGTCCCTACTGTGTCTACATACATAAAGCAGGTCCTCAAATCCACCACAAATTTGTCAGCTTATTGTACTATGGTGACTTTTGTGTTGCTATGATAATGGCGGAGTCCAGGTGTGGCGCTGTGGGTTAATGCATTGGACTGTTAAGGTAGGTTTGAGCTGCAAGGGGTCGGTGGTTCAAGGTCACCAACCGCTCCTCGGAAACCCTATACAGGGTCGCGATGAGTCGGAACTGACTTAACAGCACTTAACAACAACAACAACAACAATGATACTGGTAGCTATGACACAAATATTTCAAATATCATCAGAGTCACCCATAGTGGAATGAATTCAGTGGAACTTCCAAACTAAGATAAGCTAGGAAAAAAAGTCAGTGACCTGCTTCAAAAACGTAACCAATAAAAACCCTATGGCTCATAAATTGTCTAGTATAGTGCTGGAAGATGAGCCTTTAGGTTGGAAAGCACTCCAAATACACAGTAGCTGCAACAATGGATTCAAGTCTACCAACAACACTGAAGATGGTGCAGGACTGGGAAACATTTTTCCTGTTGTATATGAGGTCACCATGAGCTAGAGCAGGTATAGTAACAATGAACAACAAAAGGAGTCCTGGATAGCACTGTAGGAAAAGCACTACTAGACTAGTTTGAACCTTAAGTTAGGTGGCTCAAACTCACCAATCGCTCCTTGAAAACCCTATATGGGGTCTCTATGAAGTGGAACCAACTTGACAGCACTTAACAACAACAACTAATAAAAGGTATGAAAATAATTTTGGGGATCAAAGACTTTGTTTTTGAGATCATAGCCTTAGGCTCTGAGAGTGGGCAGCAAAATTATCCCTATACTTTCTATTAAATTATCAAGAAATGAATTATAAACATGCAAGATCTTCCTTGTTGTTGTTAAGTGCCGTCAAGTCGGTTCCTACCCATAGCGACCCTGTACAGGGTTTCTGAGGCTATAAATCTTTACGGGAGCAGAAAGCCTCATCTTTCTCCAGAGGATCAGCTGGTCGTTTCGAATTGCTGACCTTGCAGTTCGCAGCCCAGTTTGTAACCACTACGCTACAAGATCTTCCTTAGAGCTGCCTATATCTCTACAACTACAAAAGGAGTCCTGGTGTGGCACTGCGGGCTAATGTGCTAGACTCCAACGTCGGTTTGAACTGCAAGGTCGGCTGTTCAAGCTCAGCAGCTGCTCCTTGGAAACCCTAGACAGGATCTCTATGAGTCGGAACTTGTTGGCACTCAACAACAGTTTATTTCCATCTTGCTGGTCTCTGAGTAACAGAGAAACAGTCCTGCCTGCAAAGTTCAAGTCAAAGTCTAAGAATGAACTTTAAGACACAGACTAATTTGTTTATTAGGTGCGTTCTATAAGTTGGGGTAGAAAATTGTGGGCAAATAAATAAGTAAATAAATAAACAAAGGCTTTAGGGCAAAAAAAAAAAAAAAGCTCAGGACGAGGAAGTGGAGTCTTTGCATAGTTCTACATGAACAGAAGGGGGCAGCAGTAGGCAACATGGATTTTCAGCAGAAATGCAGCACTTGCAAAAACCGAGGACAGGAGGCTTTGAGGAAGAGGAGAAGGTCAGAAGGTGACTAACTATTTCTTTTCCTTAGAGACGGTGGTGTGGAACGTTCATCCTGTCTACAGGGAGCGGGACTTGGTCTTACATGATCTGTCTGGGTGTCCCATACCCAGTCATGCCGGCCTGGGACGCTCCCTTGTTGCTGCCCATCTGAAGGCCTATTACATTCTGTCCCTGGCGAAGCTGCTCCTCTGAAAAACCTCTCCGGTTCTGCTGGGCTTTCCTGGAAAAAGGGAGTGAGATGGGGTAATGTCATTCTGACAGTTTTCAAATGCTTCTGAAGCCTGCCATTAGCCTCTAGTGGGGGTCTCCAATTAAAAGAATGGGTCCTACCAGTAGATACAGGCATTTCTGACCCCTCAGAAGTCCAAATGTTTTTCCAAAATCTCCAGCAAAGACATGAATCTGTGTTTGCTTCTCTTAGGAGTTCACTCTTACTTCTTTCTTTCTTACCTCTTCCCACTCATTTCTTTGTCTCCCACCATTTTGTGTCATTTCAGCTAGCATCTCCTCACCCTGTCTCACAATGATCTCAAGCTCCCAGACAAAGGAAAATCAGCTCTTCTTACAAAGCAAGTCAAACCTCTTCATCATTAATCCCATTCCCATTAATTCTATGTCTCATTATGCAAAACAAACCCCAAAAACTATGCAATATTTTAGAGCTGAGGAAGCCAGAGTTAATCAGAGGGAATTTCTTACTCAACAAATATTCCATAAAGGACCAAATAACTAAGAGTTTTTTGTTGTTGTTGTTGTTCTTGTTTTGGGTCTGTGTAAGCCACAGTGGATCACTAACAGAGATGGAGTTAAAATCAAGATTTAAACTGGCCTAGGAGATTTTCAGAGCAGGGTCCTTTAAAAATAACACAAGAAGGTACAAGAAATGAAGTTCCAGGAAATTGCTAGTCAATTATCTACTTCCAGGTGCTATTTTCTCCTCATTCATCATTAAGCCACCGGGTTTAAGTCCTTGCTCCATACATCTAAGTATTCACTTTGGGAAAAGGCCCTTTACTGAGATGACCATATAATTTATCATTCAGACTGGACCACTTTTGAGAGAGAAAGAGGATATTATTAATAAATATGTTAGGACAACAGGTATTAACCAAGACAAATAGAACATATGGTCACCCTAATATATATCCTTCAATAAGTGCAAGAAAAAAAGTATTTTTGTAGATTCAGGGCTGCTCAGGTCATAATATAACTGAGTTCAGACATCAAGTCACCTCTGAGTAAGATCGTCCAGTCCCCCTCAGTCTTAGGAGACATGAAACCTTGCTCAAGCTGCAGGATCAGGGTTTCTAGTAGGTAAAGACAAAGCATTTCTGCCCTGAGTGGGATGTTGGCGTGAATGACAGCACTGGTTTCTCTTTGTTCTGAGAGGACTCATTCTGGGGCTGGAAGTGCTTATTCCAAGGAGTTCTGGGTAGAAATAGTCTCTGGGAACTCCAAGGCTTCAGACTCCACCTCTGTTTCAAGGAGCTGGGAAAGGTTTCTTACCTGTGAAACCAGGAAGGCTCTCCCCGGTAACAGCCATCATCTTTGGTGACTGCGACACTCCCTAGAGCCATCAGAGTCCTCTGCACAGCTGCCATGTCCTTCCCTGAAAGCCAACCAACAGATCAAACCTAAATGAATCACACTGAGTGAGGGATTCTGGGAGAATGGAACTTCACCAAGGACGTTATGATAGAAGACTATAGTAATAAAAATAAAGTGGAGGCATGATTCAACCACTTCTCAATATGCCCCAAAGACAACCATAGCCAAACTTCTTACAAAAGAATAAAAAATAGCCTGGTTAATTACTCCCTTGGCTGTAAGCAGAGAATACCAGAAAGATGTTTATCTTTGCTTTATTGACTACTCAAAGGCTTGCAATTGTGTGGCTCATGACAAGCTATGGAAAACATTGTGAAGTATGAATATTCTGGAACACTTAATTATGCTCATGAGGAACCTATACATAGATCAAAAGGCAGTTGTGCAAACAGAACAAGGGAACACCAAATGTTTTAAAATTAGGAAAGGTGTACGCCAGGGTTGTATTCTTACACCATACTTATTCAATCTATATGATGAACAAATAGTCCAAGAAGCTGGATTATATGAAGAAAAACATGGCATCAGGATTGGAGAAAGACTCGTTAACAACCTGTGATATGCAGATGATACAACCTTGCTTGCTGAAAGTGAAGAGGACTTAAAACACTTACTGATGAAGATCAAAGACCACAGCCTTGAGTTTGGAGTACATTTCAATGTACAAAAAAAAAAAAATCCTCACCACCGAACTAATAAACAACATCCCTATAAGTGGAGAAATGATCGAAGTTGACAAAGACTTCAGTTTGCTTGTATCAACCCATCAACACTCATGTAAGAAGCAGTCAAGAAATCAAATGACGTATAGCGTTGAGTAGATCTGCTGCATAAGACCTCTTTAAAGTGTTGAAGAGCAAAGATGTCAGTTTGAGGACTAAGGTGTACCTGACACGAGCTATGGTGTGTATTCTCAATAACCTCAAATGCATGTGAAAGTTGGACAGTGAATAAGGAAGACCATAGAAGAATTGATGCATTTGAATTATGGTGTTGGAGAATATTAAAGGTACCAAGAACTTCCAAAAGAACAAATAGATCTGTTTTGGAAGAAGTATAGCCAGAGTGCTCCTTGGAGGCCGGGATGGCCAAACTTCATCTCTCATACTCCGGACATATTATCTAGAGGGACCAGTCACTGGAGAAGGATATCATGTTTGGTAAACTGGAGGGTTGGAGAAAAAGAGAATGACCCCGAGTGAGATGGATTGTCACAGTGGCAGTAGAATAGGCTCAGGTGTAGCAACGATTGTGAGGTTGGCCCAGGACTGGGCAGTGTTTCATTCTGATATATATAAGGTCACTATGAGTCAGTACCGACTCATGGCACTAAACAACAACAATTACTTCCTGGTGTGTCACTGTAGGATAAGCACTGGACTGAGAATCACAAGGTCAGCAGTTCAAACCCACCAACTGCTCCTCAAAAACCCTGTACAGGGTTGCTATGTGATGGAATCAACTCAATGGCACTTAACAACAAAAACATATGAGAGATATTCACTCTAGTATACACCAGAGATATTCACTCATAGTTGCTGTTCTGACTCATAGTGACCCTTTATAGGATTTCCAAGGATTGGCTGGTGCATTTGAACCACCAATCTTGAGGTTAGCAGTCCAGTGCTTATCCTACAGCACCACACCAAGATTGTTGTTGTTATGTGCCGTGGAGTCAGTTCTGACTCATAGCAACCCTGTACAGGATTTCTGAGGCTGTAAATCTTTACGGGAGCAGAAAGCCTCATCTTTCTCCCATGGAACAGCTGGTAGTTTCGAACTGCTGACCCTGATGTTCACAGTCGGATTCGTAACCACTATGCTACCAGAGCACCAAGATTAGAACATTTTATTTAAATACCTAGCATGTCAGGTACTTATGCCCCAGCACTAAGCAGACAACTTTGCCTTGGTGAGTTCTAAAGCTATGGTGAGGGGAGGTCTTGTGGATGGGCTGGCAGAAGAGGAATGGTTCTTCAGGAATGAAGAGAGAAAAAAACTGGAGAGAAGTTGGTTAGATGGGTTAACTTTGCATCAAACTCCAAGTGGCTGTTCTCTTTGACTTTATCTGGGTTAAAAGTGTGGAAAACCACCCATATGCATACAATTGACTCTTCACTGGGCTATTTGCACCAGAGGCTGGGAAAAGGAAAAGAATCAAATCAATACCTAAAGCTCTCGGTGTATGACACACAGGACAGCTTATTTGAAGTGAGCTAAGTAGAGACAATAAATGGTTTGTGAGTGAAAGAGAGAAGAGTGAGAGCAAGAGAAAGCTACAGAAAGAGAGAGGCAGGGGAAGGAAGAGGGAGACAAGGAGAAAGCAATGAGAGATGTGATGCACCCCCTCACACAATGAGATGGAAAGCACTGTCATTTGACCCAGGGGAAAGGCAATTGGGCCCCATCAGTCAGCCTGCACTGAGCCTCTCATCCTTTTTCTGTTTCTGCTTTCCAGGTGTCTGATGTATCCTGGACTGAGAAAGATACTACTGTGTGATTGATTAGTTTTGTGATTTAGTAGCAGACCAGTTAAAGACAAGATTGGAGAGCAAGAGCCCAAAAGCTGAGAGCTAAAGATTGTAGCATTCAGCCTGATGGGAGTTGTGACGGAAAAGAGCAAATATGAAAAGCCCTCTTTAGCCTGAGTGAACCATCTGCATCTCTCTAGTCGGGCTATTGCAGCTCAGCCACCCAGGGAATACAGAATTACAGGGAGTGGCAGATGGAAAGTGAGAATGGTGTATGATCTACAGAAAATCAACAATTAAGGCCCACAAAGGAAGTCTAGTCCAGGATGTCCATTTAGACTAACAGGACAGAGAGACACACACAGAAGCTTCTTCCCTCTCCTTTCTCCACCCCACCCTTCACATTACGCACAGGGTGATTTCCTGGTGCTGAGGCTCCATGGGATTGGTTGATGGATATAGGGCTGAATTCTCAAGAAGGAGTTCCCCTATTCAAGGAACAGCTGTGGTGGTGGAGAATAGAGTATTTGGGTAGCAGATGGAATTGGGGTAGACTAAAAATACTGAGAATATAATAGGAAACATAGAGTAGTTGTCAGATGACTTCCCAGTATTTCTGTAATTGTAATGGTATAACAGGATATTCCCATTGGGTGCCTTTGAGTCAATTCCAACTCATAGTGACCCCATCAAACAATATTATTAATACCACATACAAGTAAATTTTTGTTGAAGATAATTTTTAAAGTGGTTGTAGCAATATCTGGGCAGTGAACTGCCAGAAATTCAAGCAGGATTCAAGAGAGGATACGGAATGAAGAGGATGCTGATGTCAGATAGATTTAGGCTGAAAGCAGATACCATCAGAAAGATGTTTACATGTGCTCTGATTATGCAAAATAATCCCACTGTGTGGATCATAACAAACTATGATAATATTGTGAAAAATGAGAATTCCAGAATACTTAATTGTGTTCACTTAGAATCTGTACATAGGCAATCGTTCAAACAGAACAAGGGAATACTGTATAATTTAAATCAGGAAATGTGTGTGTCAGGGTTGTATATCCTTTTACCATATTTATTCAATCTGCATGCTAAGTAAATTATCCAAGTAGCTAGACCATATGAAGAACACGGCATCTGGATTCATGGAAGACTTATTAACAACCTACACTATGCAGATGACACGTATTAGCTAGCTGAAAGTGAAGGGGACTTGATGCATTTACTGATGAAGATCAACGATTACAATCTTCAGCATGGATTACATCTCATCATAAAGACAATAAAAACCCTTACAATTCGACCAATAAACAACATTATGACAAACAGAGAAAAGGATTCCATTTTATCTGGACCCACAATCAATACCCATGGAAGCAGTAGTCAAGAAATCAAACGACATTGGAAAAATCTGCAAAAGACCTCTGGTAAGTTTTTTAAATGTCATTTTGAGGACTACAGTGAACCTGACCAACCCAAGGTATTTTTCATCATCTCATATGAATGTGAAAGCTGGATAATGAATAAGAAAGACCGATGAAGCACTGATTTCTTTGAAGTATGGTGTTGGTGTTAGAATATTGAATATGCCATGGCCTGCCAGGAGAATGAACAAATCTGTCTTGAAAGAAGTACAGTCAACATGCTCCGTAGAAGGGAGGATGGTGAGACTTTGACTCCTGTACAATGGAAATGTTATCAGGAGGGACCACTCCCTGGAGAAATTTATCAAGTTTGGTAAAATAGAGAATCGATGAAGGAGAGAAAGATCCTCAACGAGATGGACTGACACAGAGGCTGTAATGATGGACTCAAACATAGCAATATTTATGAGCACAGCACGGGACGGAGCAGTGTTTCATTCTGTTGTATATAGGGTCACCAAGAGTCAGAATCAATTTGATGGCACCAAATAATAACAACATATTTTCATTGAACTGTCATGATGGTATTCTCAAGGATCACTCTGGAAAGAGATGGAAAGAAGGTTTATTTTTAAGTTGTTGTTGTTGTTATGTGCCGTTGAGTCGGTTCCGACTCATAACGACCCTGTACAGAGTTTCTGAGGCTGTAAATCTTTACAGGAGCAGAGAGCCTCCTCTTTCTCCCGCGGAACAGCTGGTAGTTTTGAACTGCTGACCTTGCAGCTCACAGCCTGATTCGTAACCACTACGCTACCAGAGCTCCTGAGTAAATCATTAAAGAGAACTTAAAGAAAAGATTAAACCCAGGAAGACTTGTTATTAGTTATATCAGAAATATATAATTCATCTCTACTCTGTACAAGTTGCACATGTTGTTGCAGCAACCCTGTGTAGGGCTTCCAAAGAGCGACTGGTGGGTTTGAACCACCAACACTGTGGTTAACAGTCTAATGCTTATCCTATCACACTAGGACTTCAAGTTGCACAGAGGAAGTCCAATTCTGGCTGTTGAAAAAAGCTATTCTACTATGCTCAGGTGCCAGGGAAATAGAAACTCTGGTACTCAGCATCTAAGCCACATGTACCACCTTGGAACAAGC